TTGGCAAACTGTATGTAGAAGAGCTAAGAATTAGGTATAAGAGGAGATGTATGGGCCTTGGTAAATGCTAAGTTTGAGGGGAATGTGGAAAATAAAACTTTGTCTTGTGTGATCAATAGTAGACAAAGGACATAAAGACAGATCTGAGAATATAATAGTCACCATAATTCGAAATATTAGGCAATACACTTATTACAAACAGGAATCTAGACCTACTTCCCCCCTGTCCCCTGCCAGAAAGGTTAAAGCAGTAATGATGTTGAAAAAATGGGGTCAATGAAGCATTTAATGGGGTTATAAATGACAAGGAAGATGAATGATAATGATACTATTTTATGTTTCTTACAGGTAAATGACGATAATTATACTCATGGATAAAAAGGCAGGCAGATTAATTAAAAAATAATTTTTTCTGCATTACATCCATTTTGCTTTTGAAATTTTATCTTGAGTGAAAAGGACCTAGTGATAGATATGACTGGTTAAGAGTGAGAGTAAGTAGAATTAGTCTGGATCAGAGATGCTAGTCTTAGTTGGTAGCTTAAAGGTTGGCCAGGCCATCTATGAATCATGAGGAAGAGCATGGAATTGATGTTATAGAGATTGCTCAAGGTGTGATTATTGCGGAGGCCAAAAAAGGTAAGTAGGTGTTATTGCAGGCTGAGGTAGACTTGAACCCAGCCGTACTTTAGGCTGCTGGTTTCTGAAATTTTACCTGAGCTGACTTTCAGATTTTGTAGAAGTTATAAGAAAAAGAGCAAGACCAAAATCCCTGAAGCCCTTTTTTTTTTTTTTTTGGTTTTGTTTTTGGTTTTTTTTGGCTTAAGAGCTTTTAGATTAAAGAAGTGTTCCTTTAGGTATTATATATGTTTTTTCCCCTGTGGTTGTATTCTGTCAATTTCCATGTAATAGCAGTTTTGCATTGTCTGTCTCAAATTTGTATTCTCTCTGCTGGTTCATACTTGATTTTCTTTATTTTTAGGAAGCAGTTTTGAAAAGTAGGTCAGGGTTAAGCTGAGACAGTTCATGCTTTCTGTAAGAAGCCTGAAGAATGTGAAACAAATTCAAGATTTCTTAAGTGTGGTTTAATGGCACCACATCCAAGTATGTTGGTTTTTTGCGGTGGCTAAATCATTAAAACAACTAAAACAAACCTATTGTTGCAGTGTGCTTAGATGGCATGCAGTAATGCTTCAAAGTAGAGGGAGATTTACCTTTTACTATGATAAGCCTGCACAAACTAATTCAGAAGGTTTAAGAGACTGGTAATGTCTTATTTTTGGGTATGTTAACAGGGGAGCGAAATGATGCTAGAGCAAAATTTGCTTGAAGTATGCATGAATGGAGCTTTGTTGCTACATTGAGTGATGCCAGTTCTAAGTATATAGGCTTGACATGCATCTGGGTTTTGAATATAAAATACATCTTTGTAATGCATATTTGCACATTCAATTAAAACCCTGTAGCCTTCTGTCAGATACAGGGGAACCCCATTTTTTTAAGAACTATGGCTACATTGATCCATATGGAAAAAAAAAAAATCACGTTGTTGAACAACTATCATTTCTGTGGTGAAATATGGCCTACAAAACATGCAGCTCTTGTGCTGCTTGGGATGATGTACTTGTCATGCAGTAGTGTGGAAGTCTGCACTGGGAGGATGCATTTCCCCAGTTAAAATTCAGATCTTGGGGTTAGGGATGCTTTTGACATAGCAGCATGTAACGATACAGAATTGGAAAAAGGAGAAATTGTGGGAAAGAAGCACTGAATATTCTTTCCACTGAGACTGACACTGCTGCGAAAATATGCATGTGTATCCTCTTTATCCCTGCCCCCACTTGCTTGTGCTTGCTGGTGAGTTGCTGACTGCAGTTGCATGGTTTCTAGATTACATTGAACTAGAGTCACTTCAGCACAATCTTACCAGCACTTAAAAGAATAATGCAATATATCACTCACTGTGAGTAAGTTGCTGTGTGTCAGTTTCATCAAGGTAATTGCCCATGTATATTCATTTATCTGTGAGAAATGCAAGCTATGAATCACTATCTTGAAGACAGGTTTAAGGGCAAGGTGGTAACAAACAGTTTTGCAGTAATTGCTCCAGCATTTGCTCTATTATGTGACTAAAATAATTCTGAAACACAAAAGCATTGAAGATGGAAGGAGAAAATAGATGATCTTGCATCTCAGTAAATACAGCATATCTTCTGTGAAAGAACACCATTAAGAGGCTTGCTTCAGTGGTTAAAAGTGAATATTTGAGTTACTCAGCATATTTCAGTCTTAATAGGCAGCACTGATAGGCCAGAAATGAGATCAGTGGGAGGCATACTGCGCTTTCATAGGGAATAAAAATGTGTTATGTATGTTCAGTAATGTCCAAAGGTGATTTTTTTTTACATGTGAGACAATGTTATCTCTTACAAATAAATTTGAATTGATTTATAAGAAATAAACTGTAATAAAATAAAAGCTATGATTTAAGTATCTGGCCACATGTGCTCTAATGACAGTTTTACTGTTAAAAATCCATTTGTTTCAAACCCTAGCTTTTGGCCCTTTGTGGTCAGTTATTTCATTGCTGAGATAAATAGTTCATTTCTGTGCTTTCACCTGTATTAGTGTCTTTTTTCTTCAGACAGTTTAACCACATTGTGTTGCTTTATCAAGGGAGAAAAGAATCTTGGAAACTTACCTAATCTTTGAAGGTGAATAAATCAGGTGTAATTTCTATTAGGGAAGCAGTATACATAAGCACCTGCTGCTTTACCTATTTTACTAGATACAGTCTCTTTTTGTTTCACAGGATTTGTGTTCAGTGAATCTGAATCAACTGCATTAGAACAATTTGAAGGTGGCCCTTGTGCAGTGATTGCACCTGTACAGGTAAGATGCATTTATTATAGGAATGGTTGAAAATTAGTAACCCCAATTTTTTTTTTTTTCTCTAAACTAAAATAAATATTTTTAAAATTGCAGTTCAGTTGTATTTTGATTTCATAATTATAGTGTGGAGGAGATAAAAAACCTCAATAAAAAGGCGGAGATGGGCTGATTTCGAACTATAGTTTTTGCAGAATTGGATTTGTTTAAGGAAGTGCAGCAGGTTGATCCAAGCAGACGTAACTTTAAAGTGGGAAATGCCAAATAAAGGGGGAGAGGTAAAGGTTCAGATATAAATGTAATCCTAATCTTTTCTCATCTATCATCCCTGTCCTTAAGAAGGGTAATATCTGTCACAAGGGCTGCTTTAGCAAACTGTATTAAAAATATGTGAAGTAATCGGTTTTCAAACCTAACAAGGTTTGCTGTGTGAGAAAAGGAGAAACATTACACTTTCAAGATCCTAGTTAGCAGAATAATCAAAGTATGTCAGGCAAATACATTTTATTCCGGATACATGCTTAGGATTCCACTTGTGCTTCAGATACACTCAACCAACTGTGATTGTGATTTCTTTGTTTGTTTGTTTTCTTACTTCATTTTATCTCATAGGCTATGTGCATACTCTTTGAAATGCTGTTTCAGCAGCAGTTCTCATTGCTGTGTAGATACATGCGTGACCCTTAGGCTGGATCCATTCTGCTAGAGCACTTTGTCTAATCTATGACACTTCCTCCTTTTCTCAGGAGAACCCTGTAGAGAGACAGGCAGACACTGAGTCATGGGCCACATTACTTTTTTTGGTAGCCTGCTCTTGACTGCTTGCACACAGATCAAATTTTGCAGATATGTCTAGGTCTGAGTTAAGGCCTTGTCCATGGATAGGTAACATATTAAAGTCATGTAGCAGAGTTAACGTCATCATGATCTGGAAGGTATCCGAGTCAGACAGCAGACATTGTGGAATTGTTTGCATCACTGGTGTGTGTAATGTGATAGTCATAAAACCTCTGTTCCAGTTACTTCAAGACAATCTAAACACTGGTCCTACCAAAAGACTTGTATCACAGGAAGTAGCACCACTTGCTTAGGTCATAAACAATCAATAGAAAAATTATTTTATTATGAATTGCACTCTGTAACATGGTTCTGTCTAGTTCTGTGGTCTTAAAACCAGATGTAGAGTGTCCAGTCTCTGATGTTAGCATTACAAGTTTTATTTGGGCGGAGTGGAGATTAGGACCAGCCGGTTCCTTAAAGGCAGTGTCAAGTCTTTTACCGTATCATACGTTCTTATAGACAAGTGTTTTTTCCAGTTTTATATGTAGTTCAACGTCCTTGAGATTAAATATTTAAGACATGTTTAAAAGTAATCTGAGTTCCAGCTTGGGAAGGAGGAAGGGATCAAACAGATCTTGCAGTGACTACTGCTGCTGTGAATTACTAAAAAAGGTGTGCAAAAGATCTGTGATAAGACAACAGTTTGTCAGGGAAGAAGTGCAAGTTGAAGCAGCTGGTTTTAGTGTTGCAAATACCTGATACAGCATCTAATAGAGTAATTAGAAAGACCAAGAGTCTGCTTCCAAAGTTTGTTCTTCCATTGTTCCTTCTCTCTTACTTAAGATTATATTTTTTTTAATAATTGCAGCAGTAGTGTTGATGAAGAGCAAAGCAGGGATATGGAGATGCGTAGATTTTCTTTGATCTGTGCATTATGACTTGCAATAGTTAAGAGGTGGGCTTTTTAACTACTAAAGGGGTTTGAGTGGCTAGATGGTATTACTCATCAGTTACATTACAAAATATTTGTGCCTCTCTTACAGCAGCCCTGTGAGTCTGGATATGTTTATGTGAATATGCACTCTGTGTATTTGAAGTGTACTTGACGTTCAAACTCAGTAATGTTGAACATAGGTATGAAGCTACCTTTGTAATTAGTTTGAATGGGAAAAATCAGTAAATAGTGCAAGCTCAGGTTCTCTTACTGAACAATAAGCAGCTTGAAACCCTTATAATAACATAAAAAAATGCTTGGGTACAGAGCTTGTGACAAGATGTAAAAGTTGGTGTTGTCTTGTATTTTAATATTATTTTATGCTTTGAAAACAAAGGCATTCCTTTTGAAGAGGCTTTTTACCAGTGAAAAGTCTACTTGGAGGGACTGTCCAGGTACTGAGACCTCTTTTTTTTTTTTTTCCCTACTTATGTGTAAAGCATGTCGTAGTAGAAAATTTTAAAATATCTTACAGTTTCTTTTTGTGTAAGTGTGCAGCCATGCCATGAGGCTGTGGTAGTGGGGTGACCTTGGCTGGATGCCAGGTGACCACCAAATCCGCTCTGTCACTCTTCCTCAGCTGGACAGAGAGGGAGAGAATATAACAGGAAGCTTGTGGGTGGACATAAGAACAGTGAGAGATCATTCACCAATTAACGTTACCGGCAAAACGGACTCAGCTTCAAGAAAGTAACCTTATTGCCAATCAAATCAGAGTAGGGTAATGAGAAGTAAAAGAAACCTTAAAACACCTTCCTATCACCCTCCATTCTTCCTGGGCTCAACTTCACTCCCAATTTTCTCTACCGCCTCCCTCCCAGTGTCACAAGGGGACAGGGAATAGGGGTTGTGGTCAGCTCATCACTCATTGTTTCTGCTGCTCCTCCCTCCTCAGGGAAGGACTCCTCACACTCTTCCCCTGCTCCAGTGTGGGGGTCCCTCCCATGGGAGAGAGCTCTCCACGGACTTCTCCAATATGAGTCCTTCCCACAGGCTGCAGTCCTTCATGAACTGCCCCAGCGTGGGTCCCTTTCATGGATACAGTCCTTCATGAACAGGCTGCTCCAGTGTGGGCTTCCCACAGGGTCACAGTCTCCTTCAGGAACATCCACCTGCTCCAGCGTAGGGTCCTGCACAGGCTGCAGGTGGATCTCTGCTCCCCCATTACCCTCCATGTGCTGCAGGGCCCAGCCTGCCTCACCATGGGCTGCACCACGGGCTGCAGGGGAATCTCTGCTCTGGCACCTGCAGCACCACCTCCTCCTCCTTTTTCACTGCCCTTGGTGTCTGCAAAGTTGGTTCTTTCACGTATTCTCACTCCTCTCTCCTGCTGCAATTGCTCTTCCCCAGGTTGTTTTTTTCCCTTTCTTAAATACATTATCCCAGAGATGCTACTACCACCGTCACTGATGGGCTTGGCCTTGGCCAGCAGTGCGTCCGTCTCGGAGCTGGCTGGTGTTGGCTCTGTCAGACATAAGGGAAGCTGCTAGCAGCTTCTCAAAGCAGCCACCCCTGTAGCCCCTCCACTACCAGAACCTTGCCATGCAAACCCAATACAGAGGCATACAGTATGTATACTACATGTCTCTAAACTCCCCTTTGTGGTAACTACTCCTGTCCATAGTACTTCTGTGTTGTATAAATATTTGATTGAAATCTATTTTTGGGAAAGGGAATGGATTAGTAGTCATGTTAAAACACATTTTTCTAAAGACAGTTTTATAATTATTTGGTCCAGTAGAGCAATTAACGTTAATAATTAATAAGATAAAAGTAATAAACTCAGTTATTTAGATTACTGTATAAAAAAGATACTAGTAGCTTATGTAAGACACTGATTAGCAGCAATTGAACTCATGTAGGTTTCTGATCTTTCAGAAGAGGAGCAGAAGAACCTTCTCTGTCACACATTATGTGATATTTTGGAAATGGCTTGCTCTGATAATTCTGAGTCGTACTCTCTGGCAACATGGATAAGAGGAAAAACAACTGAAGAAACTGCTAGTATTTCTGAAAGTCCTGCAGAATCTAGTCGTCAAGAGGAACAACCTTGTAAGATGTATTTCTATTCTAAATTACCAATCACTTAGTGAAGTATTACGGGTTTTTTGAGGGACCACTGCTTTTTATTATTACACAGGTGGGGTTTTCGCCTTTGTGATTCCATTAGCAACAGATGGATTTTTGTCTCTTGTAGTTGATTTGTTGATCCTTTTTGTCAAAAGGAATGTGCTTTCTATCACTGGAGTTGTAACATATGTCTTTCTCTTGAATTTAAGCAATTTCCATAGTCTTTTGAATTTTATTTTGTAATTTATTGGGACCTGATTTTGATCAATTGAATCTGGAAAAATCAGCATGCTTCCTAACACTGGAGGAATATTTTAACCTGTGGCTTTATTTCAAAAGAGCTTTGGTAGGAAACTCTGCAAAGCTTTTTCTGTTCTGAAATATTTTGAGTCCTCTCTTATGGAGAAGTAGCCTTTTTTCCCTATATTTGATTCTATGCAGTACCCAAACAGCTTAATCAAATCACCTTCTAGTAGATGAACAGAATTTTTTTGTAGATTAGAATTGTTTGGTTACCTCTTTTTTGCAAATGTCTTGATTCCTTCATTAGTTACTGACATCAGGGATCCAGTGAACATAATCTGTTGCGCTAAGATATGGCATCCAGTCATATTTAACTGCTGAGAAGCCAGCGACATGGAAAGTTTATCTGTGCACACATAATCATTGAGATGTGCATTTATTAATCTTTTAGTAGGATATACCTAATGTTTTAAAAGATAAGCTGTTTTTTCTTTTAGTTTTTGTTCCCAGTGTGTTCCTTAAGAAGTATGAAAAACTCTTCACATGAGAACATGCTTACAAAGGTGCCATCTTTTGATGGAAGGAATATGTTATTTGGCACTTTGTGGCATAACTACAAAGAAAAAATTAGACGAGTAGGTTTATACACGTGCAGGTAGCTATAGCAGTTAGTAGTGCTGGAGCTCTTTGTTACAAGTCACCTTCATCTGCTTCTATCAAATGTTCCATGCTTTAGAAGGCTCAAACAGTAAGAATTAAAATGTTACTGAATTGAAAAAACAGGAGGTCACCACATAAGAGTTCCAAAGCAAGCAGATTTTTTATTAAGAAAAGGTATTATGCAGACAGTTGTATCTACAACTTTTCTGTTTAAAAAAAATAATCTTCCTTTGCAAGATAGTAAGGCAGATCTAACAGTGAAGTTCCTAATTTCTGTGGGTTTTCCAGTTGTCTCTGAAGCTCTTGCTCATATTATGAAGCTTCCTTTGAAGGAAAAATGAAGCAGAGCCTACTTATCAATTTTACTGTTCTGTTTATTAATATATTGCCTTATGCTAAAGAACCTTTTAACTGTAGAAAATGTTCAGCAGAAAGACTTTTTAAACACACACTCAATAATTACTCTCAACACTGACACTTAATGAACGGATCCGTTCTACTACATACCTATGTTTTTCATATTTCTGTACAAATCTACAAGTTCTGCTTGACTTGTCCTTAATGCCATGGAACGTGCTTAGGAAGAGCAGGATACATTTACCATGAGCAGTCTGCTTTGTCATGGGCAACGTTAATCTTTCGTTGTTCATATTCTGTGTTTCCTGCTAGACACCAAATGTACCTTTTGTATATACTCTACAGTTCAAACAGTATTTTACCTTACGGCTATAATGCAATACACTTCCTGATTTTAGATACATTTGTTAGGATTTTTTTTTTCTTTTCTGTCCTGCTATTTAACTATAGACCAGTTTCTGTTTAGGCTTGGGACAAAGATGTGAAGAAGGTATTGTTAATAACGCAGAGTTCTGTTACTGGTAGTACAAAGGAATAAATGATATCTTGGTTGCTGTAATCAATAAAAATAGAAATAGGCATTGTCATAGTTGGCGAATTATGTATGTGTGGGAGTATTATAGATACAATTCCACATGGCAGGCTACTGCTATTTGGGAATATATAATAAAATCATGAAATATGGTTAGACACAGCATGATAGAGTATCATTTTAAAGAGTTTCTATACAGTTGTATTTCTCATACAGTTTATGTTCTATTGCTGTTCGTTCTCTCCACTAAGCACTGTCTTTATTTGAATTATGTATAGCTACATTACTCTTTAGAATTTCTACTTCTTTCCCTTTGTTTCAAATAGTAGTTCTCTTACGATTTCACTCTGTTCTATAGTAACAGAATGAAACTGCCTATCATCCTGCTATGTGAACAAAAGGTGGATTCGAGCACACTTTCTGAATGCAATAGCATTTTTCATCTGCTTTTGTGGTGTATACCAGTGACTTGTTGTTGGCCATGCATTGGCTGTAGTAGTGCAAGTTCCCAGGTTCAAAGATCGCTTTATATGATTTAGTCCCTCTAACTTTCTGCTTACAAAAGCATATGTTCTTGGAGGTGGATTGGATCTTGTAGCATTTTCTGAAATTTAGATTCATTGTTCTATATTTTTTTTAAAATGTCTTAAAAATACATTTTCTTGAATCTAGTTTTGCATATGGTAAGCTAATTTTAGTAATTCCTCATAGTTTTTCAAAAGACAAAAACTAACACTCTTAAGACTGCTGCTGCCTTATTTCTGAAGTAGAAAATGAAAGTACTCTATTGCTGGAGAAGCAGTTGTGCTCGCACGTACGTAAATCGAGTGCATCTTTCAAAATACAATCAGAAAGGGCATAAAAAGACCTTTTGGGAATTCTTGTGGGAAGAACTGATCTGTAATATTAGCCCTAATGGCTTCAGGGCTTTAATGAATTGTATGCAGTCAAATTCGGTAGCTAGATCATCAGACATTATTTAAATATTCTGCATTAAGTAGCCTTTATCACAATGCACATCTGTCTGTTTTGTATATTAGTCTACTTAGCAGAAAGATAAAGTCCTTATAAACATAGAAGGCACTAAAGACTGCTACAGTCTTAATATTTGAATGCCTGTTGAATTTGATAATTACACAGAGACAAGTGTAATTTCCTTTTGGTAAAAGAAAATTTGATTTTAAAAGTTCGTTTTGTCTCCTTGGTTTGGATATGTTGTGAGGGGAACAAAGGTATAAAGCCTGTGTTGAACTTGGGAAGACACTAATGCTGTATTTTTTTTTTTTTTCTGTCTTGGGCACAACACTTGAAAGGCTGTTTATCCATTATTAAAAGAAAACAATGAGAATTTATTTAAAATCAGGATGTGTACCACTGTGTAGAATAATTCTACTAATTTGTAATAAAGAACCATTAAAAGGGGGGAAAAAAAACCCCAAAACTTCAGTAACAGAAATGTATATTTGAAGAAAAAATACAGCATACTTACATTGATAAAATGATCCAAATAATCATGCTTGCTGTTCTGGGAAATAATACTTCTTGTTGACCTGCAAAATTATATATATATATAGTATGCATATGCTTAATGACTTTGTGACAGCCACGTTTTGTACAAAATCAACAGCTTAGTATTTGACAAATATTTTCAAGGCTACACACTCCAGTGGCTTTGTGCTTTTAATAAATTGATTAGTCCAAATAGAAATGTTCTCACTAATTTGTATGGTGGAATCTTAATGTTGCGGTAAATTAGTTTATACTAATCAGTTAAAAAAATTAAATGTCAAGGGAGGATTAAAAATTATAATTAAAGCTTGAAAGTATACTAGCTTGCTGTGTGTATCTTGTGTCATTTTTTTGCCATGTGTAGTGCTGAAAAGTGTCTCTTGTGTATAGCTGCCTTGGCTGTCGAAGAGCTTGGCTTTGAGCGATTTCATGCATTAATTCAGTAAGTAATATGTTGGAACATTTAAAATACAGTATTTTGAAGTTACACTACTATTCACAGCCCTGAAATGGGTATGTTGAGAAATTTTGTGTGTGTTATACATCAGGCTAAACTTGGATTTCAAGTTTTGGTTTGGGGGCTTTGCTGGTTTTTCTTTGTATTTTACTGTTTAAAATGCAATATTATCTTGAGCTTAAGCATTAGGCTTGAAAATAAAACTGGAGCAATGAAATGTGTGAGAATAAGTTGTGCACTTCAAGTGTATGAACACAGCTAATTAAGATGCATATTTAAGTTAGAGATGTTAATCCTCAGTATTTATAGACTGTCTTCACAGGTGTTTCTATCAGAAATGCTTGTGATACATACACTGAAAAAAATTGTCATCCAGTATTTTTCCTGATTTGACACATTAAGAAACATTTATAAAAATGTTTTATATAGAAGACTGATTTTTTGTTTCATACTTTAACTGTTACCTTTTTGGGGTGTAAATACAGAGCTTACAGTTCTAGTGAGTTTAAAAGTACCAGTCTTTTATTTTCACAGTGAACAGTTGTAATCATTATACAAATAAATTTTCAAAGAGGAGATAAAGAGTAACAGAATTTCACATAACACTTGAGATGGAAAATGTTGCTAATTAGAACTGAAATAACTACTGCTTATTGTATCAGCAGTAATTAGAGTTTGTTCTTTAAATCCATTGTCACATGAGGAAAGAAGAAAAAGAATATAAATTTTTTTTGTAACCTTATCTGATCAAAACATTAATTTCCTGCCCTATCCCTCCCACTCACCCCCTCAGTCTTTGGACTTGTGGTACCTACTTTACTTTTTCTCTGTCTTTCTGACTGGCAATGAATGCTCTGGCATATGCTTTTAGAGCAAGCTGAGTGATGGATATCAGAACTGACTTTGCCTTGCATACTTCATATGCTATATATACTTTGATAATGAAAGGTAGTTTAAAAATCTCAAGTGTTAGCCAGAATAAACCTATCCATGGATATATTTTTGCAGATGTTTGTTTCTTTTTTAAACAAGACTTAAAGTGTGCAAGAAATCTAAAACAAAGTAATATACTGAAGTTTGTGTAAGATAAGCAGAGGGTGTGATCTAGTTTGAACTACTCAGTTAAAACTGATGTTTGTGTTCTGAGAAGCAGTATTTAGCTCTAAATATCCCAAGAAATAGAAAGTTTATTACTTCACTGAAATATCGATGGATCTCTTCCTTTGTTTTTATGTTATTTTTTTTCTTTTTAAATAGATGATCAGCGGGTGTTACCTTATCATCCAGGCAGCAGCCGTATTATACAACCACATAGTGTCCCAAATGTTAACGTACCACTCATGGTTTTAAACATTTGCTTTTTCCAAAGCTAGATTCTAATAAAATCAAATTCTCATGGGAAATGTCGTAATTACTTCAAAAGCCTGAAAGATAGTCTTACCTGGTTAAGCTTTTTCTTCTTCTGTTTATGGACTGAATGTCTTTCAGAACACTATATAATGCAACTGTTATTTTGGTGACATACAGTCTATTTGCAGCTTCAGTAACAGTCTTTTGTAGAATTACTCGTTCTAGCCACTCAGTTCTTTCTCAAGTGTATGTAAATTTATGGTTAGTGTTTGCATATAAAAACGATGTTCATTTTTGCACATTGCTCCAAAATTTATCATCTTCTGATGGGTAAATACTAATGACTGTATGGCAGTTACAGTAACTCCAGAACAGCTGCTGTGTCATTCTGTATATAATGCCAGAGGTACTCTGCTGTTACTCGGACATTTTCATGTTACATATTAGTAGTTCTTGTTTGTGCTTTGAGATGCTATTCTAACACTTAACCTAAATACATTCTCCTTTTCTGTTGGGTTTTTTTGTCTTTAGCAAACGAGCATTCAAAAGCTTCCCTGAACTGAAGGACGCAGTTTGGAATCAATATTCAGTGTGGACAAACAGATTTGGAGTATTGCTCTTTCTGTATTCAGTAATACTGACAAAGGTTTGTGGGTTGTTTGATATTCTTTGTGTGTTTTGTTTCTTTGATAAGAGCAAGATTGATCATGTGACTTTCTGTAAAAGCTGAACCCCAAACTGATAAACTACATTAAATATAGATAAATGGATGGAATGGTATCTTCATTTTGCAGGACATTTCCACCATAAAAACTTGAAAAGCTCAGTCTGGTTTTTGGGGGGTTCTGAGGTGGTTTTATTTTTTTCCATTGATCTGGGAGAACTGCAGAATTTTGAAACATCCTTCATTGTATCCCTGACATCTCTCACCAAGAGAAAAAAGTGTGTTTAGTTATCAATTCATACAAGAACATCAGCCTCCTAATGTTTTACTGTTGCATTCTGTTGTTTTAAGTGTTGCAATTCATTCCTTAAGAGAGCAAAAATATTTGTATTTTTTCTATAGGGTATTGAAAACATAAAAAATGAAATTGAAGATTCAACTGAGCCATTGATAGATCCTGTGTATGGTCATGGAAGGTAGGCTGCAAAATATGGTTGCTACCACTTAAAATAGATCAGCGGGCTACTTTTTTATGTTTCTCTAACTGATCATTCTTTTAGGAAATTATTGATATTGCAACAAAGATTCATGTATAACTTTGTAATAGTTAAACCACAACATAGCGTGTCTTTTTCACTGCCTTACTCCATTTAGTGCATCAGTTCTGAGGAAATGCTTCTGTTATTGCTGAATTTGCAGAGGAATAATTCTCAAATTCAGGGTTACGTTTTTATACCAAGTTGTTGGTTGAAAGAGTAGAGATCGTATTAGTGTTACTGAATTACAAATACATTTTAAGGAATACAGTTAGAGAATGTCTGCTTAGCTGCCCAGATAATACAATAATTTTTTCATTTGTTACGAGATAACTACTTTTTCAGAAATAAATTGTATGTCCCTTTTAATAGGCAATTTCTTTCTGTTTTATAGCCAAAGTTTGATTAACCTCCTGTTGACGGGGCATGCTGTTTCTAATGTGTGGGATGGAGACAGAGAATGTTCAGGAATGAGTAAGTTGGTTCTAGTTTATGCTTGTTCATAATTTGTACATACTATGAAATGCTGACCTACAGATTTGGAATATGCTCTATTTCTGTTCTGATAGCCTCATTGTTTGCTGTCTTTTGAATTAAGGAGACTTTAACTGGAAATAAAACATACTTGCACTAAATCTTTAATGTTATTATCGGTGAATACAGGATTGTCAGCTACAGGTTGAAATTGTGAGATACCTAATGACTTGGATGATGGAAGGGAGTGCAGTGTGCAAGTTGGGAAGGGTAATACACTGCAGACAAGGTCACTGTTCAGAGCTGCTGCATCAGACTAGACAAATGGACTGACAGGAACCTCATGAAATTCACCAGAGTCCTGCATCTGGGATGGAGTAAGCCCGTGGGATAGCGCAGGGCAGCACTGGCTGGCTAGGAAGCAGATCGGTAGAAAAGGACCTGAGGTCCTTGTGGGCAGTAAGTTGCTCACGAGTCATCAGTGTGCCCTTCTGGCAAAGAAGGCCAGCTGCTTCTTGGGAGGATAGCCTCGTCCTAAGTGAGAGAAGTTGATGGTTCTTCCCTCTGTCTATGTGAGACCACATCTCTAGTGCTGTGTCCAGTTTTGGGCTCCCCAATACAAGAAAGACATTTACATAGTAGAGCGAGTCCAGTGGAGGGCCACAAAGATGACTGGGGGGGGGTTTGAATTCTGAAGGTGTTCACCCAGTGCTACAAAGTCCATCTCAGGTTCATCAGTGTGTTTTTTACAAGGATTTTCCATCATCTAAGTCATCACTGAAAATACTGACTTGAACTGAGGTTCAAGGCAGATCCGTGCAAGACCTGAATCAAAATGCTCTGGTTTGACAATGAACAAGTAGTATAATCTCCCTTGAGACTTTTTAGACTTCCATTTGATTATGATTCCATACAGGCTGTATTCAGCATCAGACTTGTCATAATGTCATTTGGATATTGTTTCTAACTCTTTTCACCCCTATTTGGTAGACAACTTATCAGGGCATTTAGGTTGGATTCTTGCAGTCTATTATTGATGAGCCTACAGTGGCTGCTTTTGGGGTTTTTTTTTGTCCTTCTCAGTGCATGCAAATTGTTTACTAATTTGTTTCAAGACCCTTTGGAGGTTAAAATCATATTTTCTCCTAGTTTTTCCTCTAGCTTTTCTGTTTGTGTTTGGGGGTTTTTTGTTAGGATAAGTGCCCTGTTTTCCCTTTACTAGTCTCATGGCACCTTGTTTATCTTTGATGTGTAAGATAATGAAATCATTAACAGTTCAGAGACTTATTTTGTCTAGCTACTTCAGTTGTATACAATGAATTTCATTACAATCTGCAAGCTTGAACATATCTCTTATTTACATTTTACATCTGGCATCGTTATCTTGTTGTTAATCTTCTTGTATACAGGACATCATTTACCTTTTTGTGAATTAAAGCAAAGATGGCTTTGAATACCTGCATTTTCTTTGTATCATTTCATTTTGTGTTTTATCAGTCAATTCCTACCCTGATTCATGATGCATGTATAGAACATTGTTGTCATTTATCCCCATCCTTTCTTACTGAATTTCTTGTTATTAGCCTTCCTGGTTTTATACATATGTTCTCTTCAGTATTTTTAATTTTCTCTTTTGATGTTTTTGGATTATGATTTATCAATCTAAGTTGTTAGAATGTAATCTATCAATCTGAATTGTTCTTACAACTTTCCTTTACATTGGGATAATTTGTTATTCTGCAGTTTAGCCTATCTTTTTTTTGAAATCTTGAAGTTCATTCCTGCATTTGTCTTTCAGATTATCTTTCTGGTAGACCTTATTCATTAGTTATCCAAGTTTGAAATTTTTTCTTTTCTGAGAACACTGAACTTTTCTTTGTACACAGTAATATTCCACATTTAGATTCTTAGTCAATTCTGCACTAAAAATACAGAACCAGAGCCCCCGTAGAAACATCTGTCTCTGGGGGGAGAGGAGGAGCAGAAAATAATCTTTAGTACATTTGAAGTATGTGGTGTTATGTATCCTGTTAATTTTTCACCAGTCAAGTAATTGGACTTTACTATTGGGAATCCTCCATTTTCTTCAAGTCCTTGAGACAATTAAAGTCAGAACTAGCTTATTTGCTGTCATAAATCTATAATCAATATCTATTATATGATTTGTGTAGTCTATCAAAAAGGACAAAGAGCAGCCTGTGATACTCAAAACTTCTTAGGCAAGACTGAATTTTGGATAAATTGTCACATTTCCTCTGTCTATCAATCCTTCAATCATTTCTCATATATTTTGGCTCTCGTTGTAGCCTTCAGCTTCCATTCTGCCAATGCTATGAGTTTGTCATGTTAGAAGGGTTGCAGGTATTAGAATATCAAGAACTAAACATGTTTGCTGACTATTTTCTGAAGTTGGTTTTATGTACATTTTTCTCATTTGGTTACTGGTCACTTGCTTTACATTCCTCTGGTCAAGCGATTACAAGTTGGGAGGTTTGACATTAGTATTGTGGAGAGTTGACTGCCAGTGCTGGCTGATTTATTTTTTTTTTAATATTTTTGATATTTTTTTTTCCCCCCCCATGTAAATATAATGGAAAAAAAATTCAGGTACTTCTGTGCTTAGGTGTAATCAGTAAGTGAACTTCTGAAACTGAGGGGCAAGGAAGGAGTCCCTGGGCATGGAGGTGGTGCTAAGGATCTGCAGAAAGCAATGGATGTTATGTGGTTTGTAGCATATTTGCAGAGGCAGCAATGAAGCAACAGAGAGAAGATTCAGCCACAATGCAGGAACAGGAAGAATGCTAGATAAGGGATGCTATTATCATAAGTAAACACATTTGCTAAATTGAATTTTTAAAATGGCACTTACCTTGCATTTTTATTCAGAAGTTATGTAAAGCCATTGTGCCTCTTGCTCAGCTGTTTAGATAAGCAGTTTTTAATTAATAAATAAATCTTGAAAATTATTTTAAAAGTGTTTTAAAGGTAACTGTCAGTGATTTTATCAGTGACAAAGAACATACTGAGTTACAAACCTGAGGAATTACCAGGTAGTTTACAGATTATACTCAAAATTCTGACTCCTACAGTACTGTATATTTTCCAAATAGAGTAGGAGCTATTAACTGGAATTGTTCTTGGGCATCACTGGTACAAATACCAGTGAAATGATCCCTCTTTTGACTATCTACATATTACCTTTTAAACTTTTCTTCTTACTCTAATCTCTTCTCTTGCCATGCCACAGTTATCCATAGTAGGAAGATATGGGGAGGTAGACTTTTTCCTCCTTTTTTAAAAGACTAATTCTTACGTGAAGTGTAGCAATTTAATATGAATGCAGATAATGCTGTAATTGCTTTTTCCAAATAGTGCCAAGAATTTGTGGTATTTCATGTTGTCGCTAGGTGGCAGTATTCTGACATGGTCGGTGACAGTATCGTTACATTTTAAAACCATCATTAGTTTGGGCCTTACTTCTTTTTTAAAGGCTCCAGTTTTCTCCCTTTTTAGAAATTTGAGTACATTGCAAAAGTGCTTTTCAAAAAAGGAGGAACTAACTTTCTGACAAGAGGCATACATATTAATTTTCCTAGCTGATCTTTGGTGTCATCAGATCTCTTCCACGGGTGCGTTTTCTGTCTGTGGGGTGAGGATATTCACAGGGATGAATATCATCCCAACTCATCTCCCTTTGTTTCCTCGTAAGTGGTCTAAGAGTGATTTTTTTTTTTTTAATTTTTTTTTTCTTTTGTGTCCTCCTCTGTTGACTAATTCTAAAGGAGGCATGTGTAGGCCAGTGACTACAGACTAAAGTTAATCTAATAGCTTTCAGATACACTATCTATATAGCTTTCTAAGCTATTCAGGGTATTCGCACTCTGCGACTACCGTTGTAGCCAGGATCCCAGCGCTCTCTAGTTATCAATCAAAGTTCTCATCTAGTTATCTGTCTGGGGAACAAAACACTTAATAATCCTATTTTTTTTTTCTGAATAATTTTCTGAACAGTAAATATTATTTATATGTGACTTTTCTGTTCTGTTCCAAACTTCAGCTCCTATTTATGTTTTTTGTTATTTATGTTTTTATCCTGTTTAGCAGACTGAACTTTACATTGATATTTGTTAATGATTTTTAAGAAATATATGCGATGAGTTTAAAATTATTTCTTTAATGTACTATTGCTTACTTCTGCCATCCATTTCCCTTCGTTGCACATATGTGCTATTTCTGAACAAGCTACTTTGAGGAATCGTTCACTTTTTTATTCAACTAGCTCTTTTGCCCTCAGCTCAAAGAAAGGATGAATTGTCTCAGCATATGGCAACTTACAGCAACAGAGCTATGTCAGTGAGATAACAGGGTTCTGCAAAGTATTATCTATGCACCCCTGAATGTTTTAATTCCAGTCAAGTTTGAAGTTAATCCTTGAAAGCACAGTTTCAGATCAAAGAATTCTGCACAGCAAAGAAAGCCTTTTAATATGTATAGCTGACAACTCGAAGGAAGGAGTTGTAATTCCAGGCCAAGAAGGTAGTGAACAAGCTAGTGTTTGTAACTTTTGGGGGTTTGTTTTTTGAAGTTGGGGTGTTTTTTTGCTTAAGAGTAGAGGAAAAAGTTAAATCATTATTATAATAACTGTTCTGTACTGTTGCAAAATTCAGCAAGGTAAACTTGAAGTTGGTGAAGGAAGCAGGACATACCATGACTAGTGCTGTGAGGTATGATAAAGTGTAGAGTTGGTTTTTGGAAGTCCAGAAATCTTTTTTTCATTTAGAACCATTTTCTTCACTTACTGTGGTCCTGAGGCTCTTGCCCATGGATAAAGATCTCATCGTTTTAGGCTGATGTTGATAAATGTTAAAAAGTATAGTTGAGAGTTGATAGTTTTGGAGGGAACTTTCAAATATGAAAGTCAATGTTCTCTGAGAAAACGAAATACAGACCTTGTTAAATTGATCATGGTGTATGTTCCTACGTGTATTTGCAGGATCAGGTATGTGCTGCTCTTTGTTTAGGGAATGTTTGGGGACCTAGCAGAGCTTCTCCAAGTAGACAGTACTTGCACTATTGAGATGATATAACCCAGAGCTGCCTCAGATCCTAGTTCAAAAACTATTTTTGAAGCTTCAATTTTGAAGTACTTTTCCCATTTTCTATTAAGAGAACCTCAAATGAGGCTCTGTAAGTGCTCTTCCAGTTGGTAGTACATAAATATTTCAGCTATTCCTGACAGCTGTGTGTGTTTGAGAGCTGTATGATACATTAAGTGGAAGTCAGTACAGAAAATCTGAGGGAATGCTTTTGTTCCTACTAACAAAACTATTATTTGTAAAATTATGCTTTATTATTCAGAATGTGAAATGATTAAGATAAATATGGCCAGGAACGCTTAAAAAAAAAAAAAAAAAAAGGGGGGGCATACATAAATACATATATGCTTATATACTTTTTATTCCTTTCAAGATAACTATTTTTCATAAATTCTTCTGAGAATTATTTTGGTGTAAGTTACAGGTTCTTCATCTCCTACCAAATTCAACAACTTCTGAAAAGAGGCTATCAACAGTAAACTTTTAAAACCATCCTATTGGCTTTCCTTATTTTGTAGAGAAGGGAAAGTTAATACTGGTTTTTGACTATACTCCGATGATTTGCCATTGTTGCTAAAACTGCATGACTTTTAAAATTGTTACTTGACCAATTCTGAAAGTAAGAAAAAATGGCTTAAGAGAGGCTGTGCAGATTTTTCTGGAATAAATATTATGTTTTTCATTTGAACAGAGCTTCTTGGTATACATAAACAAGCAACAGTAGGCTTTTTGACTTTGATGGAATCTCTGAGATATTGTAAGGTAAGCTGTTTTCTACATAATTTAAAATTTTTCTTTCGTTAAGATGTTGTGGGCTTTGGCAGTATTATTAAAAACTTTTCTGTGTACAGTTGGTGATATTAAAGAACTTTCAAAGTATGTTCAAATTAAAACTGAGAATAATGCTATGTTAAAACAGATATATGATAAAACTGTTAAGTGCATCTTATTGATAAATCTTGTTTGATGCTATTTAATTTAGAACTTTATTGCACCAGTTTAATTTAGCTAGTTAGAAGTTTGTTTTTACTAAAATAACACTTAATGCAAGTTATGTAGATGGCTATAAAACTGAAATCCCAAAGTGGCTTGCTGTTGTGAAGGTTGCCGTTTTATTGTTCTCATTTTATGCTATCACTGTCTTCCATTTAAAATAAATAGCCATAAGTAAAAATGGTAAAATTACTATTAAGTAAATGTATTCTGAATATAATATATTCAAGAGCTAAAAGTTACTCTATGTATTTATCTGTGAACATCTGAAAGTAACTGAAGCGCAACCTAGTCACTATTGTTTCTTCCCATTGTGACACAGAATTTCTTCATTTAAAGTTTATTTGAGAACTTTTGTGCTTTACAAGTGCTACTTTTGAAACAACATTAATACTCTTAATTTCAAAAGGCTTTTTGGTTGTTCTTTGCTTTCTTTTTGATCTCCATCGAATTCCTTTAATTCAGATCAGGGTTAAAGGTTATGTAATTTGCAGAACATTGGTGTATTGACTGTAACTAACTGTCCCTTCATTTATTAAATAAATGTCAATTCTGAATTGGTTTATCCAAAATCAGCTAATAAGTCAAGTGGACTTCGATCTGATTAGCATCTGATTATAGTATTGTTAAACATAAGAGTACTTAATTGTCTGCAGTGTGTTTGAAGCATGTCTTCAAAGTTGAAGTAAGAGATATTGTTGATACCACAATCTCACTGAGGTCTTATTTCAGTTAATTATCATAAGATATGTTGTTTTCCAAGTCAAACAGAAATGATCAAAATTAGAATCTAAATATTTTACACTGTTTTGTCATTTTATGGAACATTTTATATTAGTTTTCAGAGCAGCTGGGACTCCACTAACTGAATTGTTGTTGACTTGATCATTGACGAGGTGAGTTTTCTGGGTTTGTTTTGTGTTTCTGATTTTGTTATACCTTTTTAGGTTGGCTCCTATTTGAAATCTCCTAAATTTCCCATTTGGATTCTTGGCAGTGAAACACACCTCACAGTCTTTTTTGCCAAGGTATGTTAGATGTGATTTTGGGTAATCTCAGGCAGATAAGCACCACATAAATTCAAAATTCAGATCTTGCTACAGTGTGAATTTCATGTGACTTTAATGTAAAAATGTAGTCACCAAACGTTTTAAGTCATCCCTTGAAGGCAGAATTACTCATGTGGTTTAATGATATGTCATAAATCTTAGTGAAGTCTTTTGGTTCTAGCTTAATTTATTGGGCTGGGGGAAGGGTATGCTTTAGAACATCATAACTGGGATAAGTACTGTCTTGAATTCCTATAGTGAAAGAGAGATATAAAAAAGGAAATAGTTATGTGTATGTGCCTGTTAGTTTAATCTCCCTGACAGTACCTTCACAATTTTTAATTTATAACCATAGTTTCTTCTAGCTTAAAAATAGCTATCAGGACTGTTATGCTAATTCCGTGTATTTATTCTATCAGATATGTAGTGTAATCTGTGGACCATCTAAAATGCTTTTGAGATGAGTTCTCATTTTAAAATATTAGACCAGATTTACGAAGGAGACAATTTCTGATTCTTTAGTTGAAGATAGTAAGTTGTTTTCCTTATATATTTGATTTTTATAGAACACTTGTTTCTGCTTAGAAATATTTATTGAAACTTTAAATGGTAATTAGTAGTATATTTATTAGTACTTATTAGAGTGAACTTTCCTGTACTTAATATCTTACAAATTAATTAATATTTTAGGTATGAATCTTGAAAATAATTACTAGAACATATAACAAAGTTAAAGCCCTAATTTTTTGAGCTGTTGAATTTCCTTAAGGAAAACTTTGGCCTAATCTTTAAAGAGGACACAAAACCTAAGATTTTTCTTACAAAAAAAGTACAAACAAACCTCCGCTATACACGGAGTTTCTATATCAATATTTCTTTACCTTTAAACTTAAATTTAAAAATCCTTTAATTAGTCTGTGTTGTGCAGTGAGTATTTTTTTGCAGATTCTGATGCAAATGCTTCATTAGAACTTCCCTGAATCTCTTGTGTAAGATAAATACTCTTTCTTCCATACTCCATGGTAATAGAAAAACCCTTATCCTCCTTTGAATGTTTGTTTTCTGCCTTACTCTCTCCCCAAACAGTCTTTCCTAGTAATTTTTTTTTTAATTTCAATTTTTTATCTTTATCCACAGTTTTTCTGATCTATACCACTGAAGTCAGTACATTGTCATATAGGTCTGTGGCAAATAGGCGTAATCACTCTGGTATACAAGTCAAGTATACCTGTACGGAGCATTAGTGCACCTTCTAATATTTTTGTGTCTACAGTGACTGTTTCCAGTTAGAAATTCATTTCTAATGCTCTTTATTTCAGGATGTTGAGGACTGTTTGCAGGGTTTAAAGTAACGGGGCATCAACACCTGGCACCTCTGATACAGCTTGGTGGTTCTTTCTTCACTGAACTCCACTTAGGCTGTGGAAAGCTTCAGTTTGTGATTAGTGTCTTCAGAACTACAAAGTAGGAAATGAAGCAACATGAGCTTGGCAAAGAATTTCCTAGAAATTTTTTTGATGAAAAGAAGCAGGAGCTGAAGTTGTGTAAGAGTTCTGAGAGTCCTTGAATTTGCATGTCTGTTGGTGAGCATTTCAGGTGGAGCAGAGATGTCAGCTACAGTAGAAATATGAATCATATCAGCACATTATTTTATCAGTTGAAGCTTCATGCCAAAAACTACAGGAAGAAACTTGAATTCATTGCCAGTGGTTAGTTAGCAAGTTGTTTGAGTAGTGTGTGTAGTTGTCTAGATGGTGCTTGATACTGGGGATGTAACTTCTAGCTTGATGGTGAGTTTGATTACAAGAGAAAGAAATCTTTAGAATGGAAAATAGAGCCAAAAGCAATGTAGATTAGATTTGAAAAAAAACCCAACCACCAAATACAGCTTTAATTCTTTCAAGCTGCATATGATTTACAGAGCCTAAACCCTTATGCTTACATAGAAGAACATTGGGCAATTATTAAGCAAAATAGGAGTCGCCTTTGTCATTTGCTGAGTAATTTGGCCTAGAAACCTAAAAAAAGCAGTCTTCCAAGGCTACTGTCACTATGGTCAAGTAGCATGGGGAAATTAGGGATCAGGACAGAATCTTCATTGCTATCTCGGGGACCTTTCTTGATCATGGAGGTTCAGATTCGGCATACCACCCTACACAAAGTTGGCTGCTGTTCTGAATGAATGACTACTGTGCTAAAGATTTTTACATTCGATGTGGAGTACAGCAATAAGCATTGTTCTCTTAACTGTGTAATGAACAGTCATCCACCTAGCCTTTCTATCTCAGAACATTCTGAATTAAAGACTATAGACATCTATTGCTGTCTGCCAGAATATATTTGCATAACTCTACAGACCATTCTGCTGTAGCTGTGACTTGGGGAGAAATGTTTTTCGGTCATACTTTCTAAAATACATACATTTGTCAATAGCTGCCATTCTAAAACTTTCTACATTTTCAGTGGATTTTAATGAATAAGCAAAATGCAGCACAGTATCTTTGGTCTGAAGATCACAGTTTATAGCTTAAAGTGAAATTTAAAAAATGAACTCAAGCGTGTAATTGGCCTTAAGTTCTCTTGTAACTGCTGCTGCATGAAATAGCCTTAAACAGTGACAGCTCAGTTAACTCCTAGTTTTAATGTAAGTCTACCCATTACTAAAACAATATAAATTTTATTGTATCTGGTCTCCATGTCCACATCTTGATTGTCAAAATTCATTTGATATGTACAGAAATTATTAGCCTCATTTTACTATAAGTAATTGGAAGTAGAAAGAAATAAATTAAGAACTATTTATTCCTTAAAACAGCGATTTTGATTGAGGCACATTTTATTGAAAAGAATAGCAGTAGTTTTTCTTTCTGGGACTTAGCTGACCTTTTTCCAACCAAATAATTACTTACAGTTAGATATTTTGGAGGCAGTGATGCAGACACAACAAGTTAAAATGCAGTGGATAATCTATGCAAAACATTGAAACATGAGAATACTCATTACAATGTTTTGATCCTCTATCACCTGCTTTAGTGGAAGTGTTCTTTCTAGATTGACAGAAAATAGAACCTGAAAACATCTGGAATGAAGCTTCTAAGGTAGACTGTATTGAGGAAAAATACTACAGCTTGTTCTGCAGATGAGTATGTAATAAAGTTGGAAAGGACATGTGAACATTAATTAGTTCTTCAGGACTCTTGATACTTACGAGTATCATAATAGAACTGAGAAAATTTGTGTGAATAGTTGGGATGGGGGACAGAAAGTTGCTTAATGTTCAATAATCCAAATTTAATGAAAAAATAAGGGTGGCTATTACTCCTAGAGGTCATGGACTCTGCATTTGCAACAAGGCAGATTTTACCTAAAAACTGGGTATGTAGGTTCTTCATAGGCAACTAAATCCAAACAGCCTCCGCCTCTCCCTGCCCTCCCTTCCTTTCACTGAATAAGAAAACTTTCAAATGGCCTTCGGCCAACAAAAACAAACAAGGAAGCTTTCATCTGACACACTAAGTATCACTGCATGCTTTGTCAGGCAAATAGACAGTATTGTAAATGTCCTCTAAAAAGCAACTTTAAAGTTACAGTCTTGTCTTTTTTTTTTTTTTTTTTTTTTTTTTTTTTACTGTAGCAAAGAGAGTGAGAAGGTGAGGCAGCTCTAAATTACTTAAGGGATGAAGTTGTGATGCTCTGCATCAAATGCTGTGTGGTCAGTTCTTGTTTATTTTTATGATGCTTGTAACACAGGAAGTTATGACAAGCTGAGACTATTCAGAACTTTTAGGAATGTCAGTGTGGTCAGACACTATAAAATAACAACAGGTTAAAATATTACTTGAAATATAACAAAATGTTTCAATGCAAACAATAGAAGGAACAGTAGTAGGTTAGTAACTGTGTTGTAAATACTATATGCTGACCTGCAAACTTTTACATGGTCTGCAAGTTTGAATTCAGACTCATTGAAAGTGAAAAGACAGCATGGAATGAGTGTCTGGTGACATCAGATGATTGAAACTGTCCATGGGGACACTTCAGAGCTGTATAAGTTTTTCAGAAATTTCATTAGTCTATTCCCAGGTCTTGAAGCACAACAGAATCGGCTATCCATTTTCAGTTACAGCATTGTAGCATTTCTAGACTTTAAGAATCAGATAAGCAGAGGAAATTCCTGGCTGAGACATCTGAATAAATTACAAATTACTGCTTTTCAGGGAAAGTGTGCCTGTTCTGCTGTGTTGGGACTGTACTTATGGTTTTGGATTACATTTTTTTATTTTACAAACTTTGATCACCGTAACCTGTTCTACATATTCTCAGAGCCTTTCTTCAGCATCCTTGATAGTATTGTCTCTCAGAAGAAAGAATATTCACTTCTCTTCCTTAACAATCTTTTTCATCAAAGTTCAACAGAGGGACACCTGAGCAATCACTGACACTGCTATAGGAGATCCTGAAATGGGTCAGTGGCGTTTACCAGAACTGGGCTAAGGGGGAATGTTACTGGGTACAGCATTTTATCTCAGAACACCAACAGAGACTATCAGTGACCATGAAGGAAAATAAGATGCATGTGTAAAAAAAGTCAGCTATTACTAGAATGTGTGGACAACTCTGGTCTCTGCATAAGTAACATGTATATCCAAATAAATTTAACTTAGGAACTCTTCCACTTTGGGAAGGTAGCAAAAAATATCTACACCCTTCCTTTTGTTAATTGCTCCCATGACTTGTGAATGCAAATTTTTAAAAAGTCTTCATCAGAGAAGAAATCAAATCAGATTTTGAAGAATTCCACTTCAGGAAATGGTCACAGAGGATGTGGTTTCAGAATATTTAGTTTCCATGAGTAAGTGGAATTGGTTCTGGTTGGGACAGTCTGGATATCTAATACAAATGATACAGATGTGTGAGGCAACTGCAGAAATAACTTCTGGGCTAAAGCAGGTTTATATTTTCTGTGTGTTGATTGCTCT